GGGCGGCCAGGGCGCGCGAAGTGGAGGACCGGAGGGCGGGTGCGCACGGCAATGAGGAGCCAGGGGTCAGCCACTGCGCAGGCCGAGAGCCCCGGGACAGACCGGTCTTGTGGAGCAAGGGACCCAATGAGTGACGATCCTCCCCACTCCCCCTGCCACCACTGGGCGCTGGGACAATCCGGCTCTTGGGGCGGGCACCAGCAGCAGCCTTTGACCGAGACTAAGCTTTAGAGAGGGCAGGGTTCGGAGCAGAACAGGGCTAGTGCCTGGGCATTGAGGTCTTCCTTGGCGACATCTCACCAGAGAGCGGAGGGGAGGTCCCAGCACAGCAGTCCCTCCCACTGGGCCTGCGGATATTGGTCCTGTCCCCTACACACCAGACGGGAAAATCCTAGTTCCAGCTGGCGGCATTCCCACCTAACCCGGGGACACCTGCGCAGCCCAGGGGACCAACACTGCAGGGCGCATACAAGATGTACAGTGTGCCTCTTCGGCTGGGAAGGGATCACGAGTCTTAGTGTACAACGCCGCCCTGGCCCTCATGGAGGACCCCTCCGAAACCCTCGCACTTCCACCAGCACCCCAGTCTGGAGGCTCCAGCCCTGTGGGAGCTCCCAGGCCCCTTAGCACTCTGAGGTGTCTGGACTCAAAAACTACAGCCCCCCAAGGCTCTAAATACGTTTTTTAATTCTTTTAATTTCAAAGTAATACATAGATTAAAAGTAAAAACCTAACAGTTGTTGTCAAGGAGATTGTGAGTCATACGAGCCCTGGCGGAGGGCTGCTCCTTCCAAGGCTGTAAATTGGTCAGGAGACCAGACTGCTGCGTTCCCGCACTGGCCCTTACCAGCCAAGAGCTTTAACCATGGTGCTATCAGAGCTCCCAGAGCAAATCAAGAAGTCAGAGGTGTCGCCATAGAGCTGAAACTGACTCAGCTGTCCCTCCAGGGGATTCTGCTGTCCTCTTTCTCCTAAAGAGCCTCTGGTGGATTTGAACCACCAGCGATCTGGGCTAGCTGGCAACTCCCTGCCGACTTGGCCAGCAGAGTGTGAATACACCCTCATTAATAGGAATTCTTGGAGCTTCTCGCGGTGTTTGGGGAAGGGGTGCTCTTTGAGCAGCGCTGGCCTGGCGGCTCAGACACCCACGCGTTCGCCAGGTTGGTCAGGTCCTCCTGGGGAAATCATTCCCACTGGGCTTCCTTGGGAAGTCTTGACCCATGAGACTTCCTGGTGAAGGCAAGTCCAGCAAGGCCCAGCGCCAGAAGGACCCTCACATCTGGGATAAGTGGATATGCCTGTTGCTAGGCCCTGTGCCAGCGACAGAGTGCGCAGAACACGCGAGCCAAAAGGGGCCTGGCGCCTGAGCTGTCTCCGCTCCGCCCAGCTCACCCCAGCACCACGGAGTGCACCTCGCATCTGGGGGCCATCACGTCGTGGAGCCCCCACTCCGCAAAGCCTCGCCGCGCGCGGGGTCATCCACCCGCCGTCCCTAGCAACTGTTGCTTGGAGGGATTGGACCAACCCTGCTAGGCTTGCGGGGATGAGAGATTCCCTGGGATCGTGAATATTTATGTATTCAAATGAGGCCACGCCTCGTTGCCATGACGCCTGGTACCCACAACCCGAGGCCGGAAGAACAGCTCAGAGTCCTGGCAAGCGCCAGCGGTGGAGGGCACCCAGGGCCGAGGCCCCTTTGGGCCGGGCACTCGGCGGAGCCCCAGGTGAGAGCCCGCGTGTCCATGGTCGGGGTTGCAGGCCTTTGTACCCGCGTACCCCTGTAACCGGCGGGCGCGAGCAGGAAGCGGCGGAGGCAGCAGGAGACCCAGTGGTGGCCGCAGATGTCAGTGCTGTGACTCCTGGTCGCTCTGTTGGGCGCAGGTGGGGCCTCAGGCCCTGTCCCGGAGAGAGGGATTAGTTGGGGGTTTCTGTGACTCCAGTCTTACCTGGGGCTCCCATCGAGACCTCACAGATGAGGCACCCCAGGGGTGAATAAGGTAAGCACAGGCCCACTTTGCTGCTGATTTCATCTGTCGTGAATGGAGTCACAAGGCCCATATGAAACTGGGCCTTGCACAGCCCCTCAGTCCCACCAGAACGATGGGGGTGCTGTGTGAGGCCTCCTGGGGCAGGTGAGCCTGCAGGTTCTCAGGTAGGGCGACAGGAGATTCCAGGGCACCGGACAAAGTTCCTCATAAGCCAGTTCAGCTTCTCAGGCTCGAGTTTAACTAAAGCACAGCGTGAGGCCCAAGATATCCCTAGTTTCTGTCAGTAGTGGAGTGGTCAAATGGGCTTGAGGACCCCCATTCATTCTCTGGGATACTGGCAGCCAAATACTGCCAATTCTGACTCCTAGTGACCCCTCACTGAACTGAAAATGCTTGCTGCAGAAGATCAAAGATTACAGCCTTCAATATAGATTACATCTCAACATCAGTAAAACAAAAATCCTTACCATCAGATCAATAATCAACATCCTGATAGACGTAGAGAAGATTGAAATCGCCAATGATTTCCTCTTTCTGGGATCCACAGTCAACACCATTAGGGGTACCAGCACTCAAGAAATCTAAAGCCATGTTGCACTGGATAAGTCTGCTTTCCAAATAACTGAGGAGAAATGAGGTCGCTTCAAAGACTAAGGTGTAGTCGGCTTACATTGTGGTGTTTCTGATCACGTGCTGTGAATCTGAGAGCTACACAGTGCATCAGGACAACAGAGGAAGAGATGTCTGTGAGCTGTGGTGTTGAGGAGGAGCACTGAACATCCCATGGACAGCCAGGAGGACAGACAGGTCTTGGAAAAAGTGCAACCAAAGCGTTCCTTAGTGGAAAGGATGGCCATCTTATACACTTTGGGCATGTTGCTAGGAAAGGCTGTTCCTTGGAGAAAGACTTAATACTTGGGAAGGTGGAGGGTCAAATAAAGAGAAGAACCTCCATGAGCTTGATTGATACAGTGACTTCTGCAATGGGCTTGAGCGGGTCGGGGTGTGAGGAAGGCACAGGATAGGACAGGGTTTAGAGCTGTTGTTCATAGGGTTGCTGTGGGTCGTACTCAACTCTATAGCACCTAACAACAGTGCCTCTCCATGGGGTTCCTGTGGACTTTATCCACAGCCTTTGGGCTGGTAGCTTGACACACATTAAGCCACCAACCAGGTCTCCCTGATCTAAGCCATAGTATTTTCAGTTGCTTCATGTGCACGTGAGAGTTGGCCAAAGGGAAAAGATGCCCAGAGAAGAGTCGAACCCTTTGAGGGTGGTGCTGAAGAGAACTGGATACACCATGGCCTGCCAAAAGAGCACGGTAAAGCCAACTTGCAAGAAGGGCAAGCCAGAGTACTCCTGGGGTGCAAGGAGGTGACCCTTCATCTCTTGGACCGTGAGTGTGTTGTCAGGAGAAGCTGTCCCTGCAGAGGGGCCTGATGCTGGAAAAGGAAAAGCGGGTCAGCAGAAGAGAGGAAGCCCTCATTGATCACCCGTGGCTCCAGCAGTCTGAGCAGTAACTGGGAGTCCAGTGGGGGTCCAGCAGCTATTGGGAGAATTGCTCAGGGTCAGGCAGGTTTTGTTCTGTTTCTCACGGGGACACTGAGTCGGAGTATACATGCATTGTGGAGCCCTGCTGTGGTCCGCTAGGGGCTGGGAGCTGACACTGGCCACTCTCTCCTGCTTTCTCCTCCAGTGTGGAGGGGCCAGTACCTCACGGTTGCATATACTCTCAGGACAACGGTCCAGCCCCTCCAAGTGACCTGACCAGTGACAGGGACATCCCTCTACAACCGTTATGGAAGCTGGGCAACCAGGTGGTGCTGTCAGGTGGCCACTGCTCAGACTGTGGCCCTCTCCCACCCGGCCAGCCTGGCCCTGAGGCAGGCTGACACAAGACCAGGGAAACCTGGCCTGTCTTTTATGTGTTCTCCTCATCCATGCTTCCTCCATTTATTCCTTGCTTTTTCATTCATTTGCCCACAGGCATGTGGGTGCTGAAAACTGAGCCCAGTGTGTGCACGAGGCCCAGGGACTGCTTCCACCGCTGTGCAGGGTACCAGAAACAGATCGGAGCAAGCCTTGCCCATGTCATTAAGAAAGTCCCCCAGGGAAACAAGTGGGTGCAGGGAGGGTCTCCCAAGACATGCAGGGCTTCCTAGGAGCTTGAGGAGGAGCCCATGGAGAGGGGCAGCCCAAGACCCCCAGGGACTGGATCCAGGGGCCAAGGGTGGGCCTGTACAGGTCAAGTACAGGTGGGCAGCCAGGTAGAGCAGGTGAAGATGAGGACCTAGAAAAACCCCAGCATTAACCATCTGCCTTGTCCACCCGTGTGTCTGCCCAGGTGGTGAGGGGGGCCTGGCCCTCAGCTGGAGTGAGCACTGCCAGGAGCCTGACTTGATACCACACCCACAACCAGAAAGTGGCTGCCTGTATGTGAGGGTCTCGGCCAGCCTGGGGTGCTGGCCCAAGGACTTGCTCCCAGCTACAGGTCCAGAGACCATCTAGTGGGGATGGGCCTACAGATCAGAGCCTGAGCTGGCCAGCAGTCCACCTTTTGACCAAGCCCCAAGCTAGGATGAGGGTGGATAGGTGAGGGCCCAAGAACCAGCACCCCTCCTGTGGGCCCTGCAAGGTGGGCAGGTGTCAGGGGGTAGCAGGAACCAAGGCGAGGGGTGTCTCAGGCATCAGGGTGTGGCAAGCTCAAGGTGCAAGGGTGGGAGACGAGTGGGGTACAGTGCTGGGCCAGAGTGACTTTCTGTGAGCAGGGCTGGGCTGGGGTCTGGGGAGGGTACAAACTGTGTGAGGCTCCAAGGGCCCTGTAGGCCAGAGTGTTCATGGGAGATTATCTGCCTAGGCTGTGGGCATCAGCCAGAGTGGACACAGTGATCGTGACAGGAGGGGAGGTGCTGGAAGATGCCATGTGTACTGCCTCCAGCTCTCTGCTCCGCCCATCTATCTGGCTTCCTTCCCTCATTCCAGCTTCCTGAGTGCTCCTGGCCACTCAGTGCCTATTAGCAGGGAAGCGGTCAGCCTACTTTAGTGACCACTGCTTGGGGTGTGCCTCTTCAGAGAATTGGGTGTTGTGGCAAGAGGCAGCAGGAAGCACGCAGACCCTCCATGGTGTGGATGGGGCCAGGCTGAGTCCACGGGGAACCAGCACACATGTGCACAGTGGTCCCCCTTTATGTCAAAAGCAATGCAGCTTGGTGAGGTCAGAGCGAAGAGCTTGCTGTCCCAGGAAGGCTGCCAGGCCCACGCACCTGGGGGGAGTTTGCAAGGTATATGGTTATGGGTGTCAGCCTGGGCAAGGGTCAGTTTGCTGGCACTCAGTAAATGTTGCCACAGAGGCAGGCCCGGAAGCCCTTTCTGGACCCCATTAGTACCTCGCCATAAGGGCACTCACCTCAGGGCCACTGCAGGGAGGGCTTTTAGGATTTAGGAAGGTGAAGAGAACCAGTGACTCTCATAGACCACCCACTCTGCTCACCACCTTTCCACAGGTCAGCTGTAGATGGAGCCAGCCAGGCTCAGAACTCAGGACCCTCAGCCCAGGGTGGCCAGCGTCCGAGTGCAGGAGCTGCACTGGCCAGGTCGCCACAATCCCCGGCCACGGAGCCATGGCACAAGCAGCAGCATGGGCAGCCAGGGCCCCCATCTCCTGGAGGACTTCCTGTCTCCTTCCCAACTGGTGAGTGCCCGTGGGAACAGAGTCAGCTACAGTCACAGTGTTTGCGAGCCAAGTCAGGGACCTCTTGCAAGCAGAGAGAGACCTCTCAGAGTCCCCACATGGATGAGGGACTGTGAAGCCCACAACGTGTGGTTCTGAGAAAGGCAGAGGGGGTACAGCCTAGCCTGGTGACCAGCCACCCCATTCTGACAGCTAGCTGCAGGCAGGTGGTCCTGTGGCATTGGGTTAGTATGAGGAAAGCTATAGCATGCAAAAAAGCGGGGGCTAGAGATAGCACTGGAAGAGAGGCTCCAAGGGGGCTATGAGACTCCGAAGGTGCCCGACGGGAACGCATATCCATGCACACATCTTTGCATGTGTACAAAGCACACATGCACATGTAACAGCACACATGACACGTGTGAACAAGCAGCACACTATACACACAAGCACACACAAAACACAGGCACACTTGTCTGTACCCACATGTGTGTCTGCATGAACACAGGTACCACAGCACAGGTACACATGCACATATGCACCCCACACACAGCATGTGCAGGACAAGTGTGGACATGCCCAAACACCTGCACACAAACACTGACATGTGAATGCAGTCTGACTGTCAGCCCCACACAGGGTCCTAGTATTCACTGTGATGCCACTATGTGACAGGAGCACGTGTGTTCCCATCATGGGGCTGCTGTGTGACAGGAACATGCACGTTCCCATCACAGGTGCTGCTGTGTGACAATACACATGTTCCCATCACGGGTGCTGCTGTGTGACAGGAACATGCACGTTCCCATCACGGGGCTGCTGTGTTACAAGGAGCATGAATGTTTTCCATCATTCCCATTACGGCTGCTGTTGTGACAGGGATCACGTGTTCCCATCGGGGGCGAGCCAGCTGCACCCATCGAGGGCAGCAGAGCTGGCTCTGCTCTGTTGCCTCTGGCCACTGGCCACTCTCAGAACACTGCTCTGATGATGGTCCCACCAGCCAGACGTCTTGGATCTCCCATGCACGGCTCTGCAGGCCCCCGTCAAGTGTGCCTCTAGCTCTGCTCTGCAGAGGAGGCAGAGAGATGCCTGCCATCTGCTCCAGGGGCCTCCGCCCAGGCCCGTGGCCCAGGCCTGCGAGTAGCTGGAAGAACGGATGGCCAGGGCCCCCCAGGCCCCTAACTGACTGACTGTTGGTTTCTGCAGCGGTCCCTGGCCCGGGTGGATGACCTGCACGCAGTGACTGTGCTGGAGCTGTGTGTGGACGCCCACCAGAACAGCCTGGGAAACTTCGGTGAGAGCCGGCCCCTGCTGGACAGCCTTCCCTGTAGACAAGAGGACTGTCCAGTTATAAGCAGGCTGGAGATGCCTTTGGCATGCCTGTTCACACCCCTGCCACTGGGTCCAGATGTCCAGTCCTAGGCAGAGAGGCCTGAGCCCACAGACCAGGGTTCCACCCTGCCCTCCAGAAAGGACACAGTGTTGGAGATCCGTATGATGCTAATGTTAGTGGAGGGTGAGACCAAGTAAACCTGATGATTATAATCACGATGTTGGTTACCACGTGTGACAACACTGAACTCACAGGAAAGTGGCTCCGATAGCACCAACCCCTGTCATCCACCCTCAGCCAGGTCCCCACTGCCCGTGCTTCCCTGTGTGCTGCTTTGTTATTCTCTCCCCCTTACACACACGTACACAAAATCTACTCACATGGTTCTGCATGTGCCCACACACCCACACACACATGCTCTCTCTCACACACACCAGTATGGGCATGCATGCATATACTCTTGCACACACTAAAAACCCCAGCCCACTCCCACCGAGTTGGTCCCAATTCATAATAGCCTTGCAGGACTCAGTAAACCGCCCGCGGGGTTCCCACCATCCGTGGAAGCAGCTGCCACAGTTTTCTGTCCCAGAGCAGCTACAGACTTTGAACGTGGACCTTTTGGTTATCTGCTGAGGGCTTTAAACACAGTGCAACCAGAGCCCTTTATATTCACAAGAGCACACAGATGGTCACACACATGTACACATGTCACAGGCAGCTGCGTGGATACACATACATACACTTTAAAGGCTTGCACACCTCACATGTGTGTGCATACACACGTGAAAACACATGCACACACATAGATGCTCATGCTCACTCAGGTACACTTGTCACAGGCAGTTGCGTACACACTTGAAAGTGCTGACACCTGTACATAAATACACGCACATATACATGGACTTGCAGATGTGTACACAGTTACAGAAGCACACATACAGGCTCATACTCGGTACCCTTGCCACATGCACTTGCACACATGCACACACGTACAGTGCAGTGTGCACACATGTGCTGAGCACACAACTGCGCACACACCCTCCAAAGGCCGTTGACATTTCCCCTCACCACCTGTGCACTGCAGCCGCACTGCTCCTTCGTCTGTGGACACTCAGTGCACAGCTGAAGGACAGAGGTCCCCTGCACATGCTCCCAGCAGCAACCTGTCGCACACATATCTCATGTCCCTGATCATACCCCGAGGAGGTGGCCACACCATTGTCCCTGCCTCCCTACCCCCTGTCCCCACACTGTCCTGTGAGGCTGTGGGCTCTCGGAATCTGCATCTCCCAGCCCTCGGGGACTCTGAGTCATAGTGGTCAGTGCCCTGGCCTTTCCAGGAAGACCAGGACACTCACTGCTGATGAGGGCAGGGGCTGGGCACCTGAGGTACCTAGCAATGGGCAGCGCATGTTGCCTTGCCCCCTGCAGTGTGCCTTCTCCACCCTTCCATGCCCTCCACTTGGACTGGGCTGCAGAGGCAGGAGTGTGGCCCTGAGGGGGCCCAGGCACAGAGGGGGCCACAGCCCTGTGAGTGGCCCCAATCAGTCGCTCTGTCCCTTAGAGGCTCTGCTGGCCCAGATGGGTCCTCAGAGGACAAGGTGTGAAGAAGGGTACAGCAGGGAGTGGGGAGCACAGTGGGCCGGAAGAGGGATGGGGGCCCTGTTCACCTCTCTGCCTGTGGCCTCAGGGGTGCACCTGCCCAACCTCAGCCAGCTGAAGCTGAACGGCAGCCGCCTAACCTCAGTGAGGTGAGCATCCGGGGAGGGGTCCCTGGGGGACTGCAGGGGGGTGCGGTGAACAGCAGCC